TAAGGCATCTCCTAAGGGGCATATGAATGAAGTAATCTAATGGTGGATTTAACTGATATTTCCTCATTTTAATTCATCAGGTTTGCATTGCATGAGTTTTAAAAAAAAAAATTAGGCAATGGCATATAACATGGTTCAGGGATAGGCTGATCAGTTTGTTCCAGCGAAACAGTTCTTTACACTATTTGGTCAACGACAATCCCTCAATATGCTCTTTGTGCTCCCACACATGTTGGAGGTCTCAGCATCCTTTTCCAAACTACTGAGTCAACAGGGTCACCAGAAACAGTGCACTTCCTTGAAGGAGTCCCTCATTCACAATTATATGGCTTTATGCCTGGAGAAGCTAGGCAACGTGTCACTCACAGCAGTTTCCTAAGACACCCAGCCTCCTGACCAGATATGAGCTTCAAGGGATCAGAAAAAGAGTGGAGTAAGATAGTGGCGGGGGTCGACTCCTTGAGTCTACTAATCTCAACCACCAGTAGGTCCAAAGATGCCCGTGTTTCCAGGTTACCTCCTCCAGGGAAGGAGTTTTGAGACCTCAAGAAGAGTCTGGTTCCTTCTGGATTTCAGCACCACTCTCCAGTGCAAAGCAATTAGATGGAGTCAGAAAGGCTCCCTATGACCAAGAGATCAGGAGACCATGCCAAATGTTTCCTCAATTTAGGTAAGCAGTTCAGAGTTTTCCTATTTCTTAACATCGACGCATCATGTAACATTTTACCAAAAATATGCACAATTTGCATTCTTCAGTTCTGAAGAATCATATTTGACTTGAAAATGTAAGTCTCTCTCTCTCTCTCCACAGTTGCTGCCACACTTGCTTAGTATTGCCAGCAGGTTTTATTTATGATTTTCAGCATGTGCAATATTTTGTTTTTATCTTGTCTTCATATAGAGTTAACAAAGCAAATCACACACAGGGTTTCACAAATGGAGGATGGCATTGAAAGGTACAAGTATCTTAGAGACAAACATTAGTACAGGAACAGACTGATGCATACACACAGGAATTTGGGAAAAGCAGAGTTAATACCAACACAGGATCCACCACAAGACAGATAAAGGAAGGGAATTTATATATTTAAAAAAGAGAGAATCAGAGGACCGAAAGATGCCTAGGAAAGCAAATAAAAGACTTTGAAAATACTTTAAAGTATTGGATTCAGGAAGGCCACGAAGGTATGGTGGTTTAGTGGTTAGCACCGCTGCATCACAGCACCAGGGAGCTGGGTTCAATTCCACCCTCGGGTGACTGTCTGTATGGAGTTTGCACATTCTCCCCATGTCTGCAGGTGTTTCTGCCATGTGCTCTGGTTTCCACCACAGTCCAAAGATGTGCAGGTTAGGTGGATTGGCCATGCTAAGTTGCCTGTAGTATCCAGGGGTGTGTAAGTTAGGTCGATTAAATGTGGGAAATGCAGAGTTACAAGGAAAGGGTAGGGGGATGGGTCTGGGTGGGATGCTCTTCAGTGGGGTGGTGTGGACTTGTTGGGCCAAATGGCCTGTTTCCACACTGTAGGGATTCTATGATAAGAATGAGTAGTTTTTAATGCAGTGAGTTCTAGAACATTAGCCAGTGTAAGTCAGTGACAGCAGAACAGACGTTTAGTGCAGGACAGAATATACATTGCTCTGCATGCATAGGTGTTCATGGAGGCCAGGTCATTGGAATAATTCAGTCTAAGCTTGGCAAAGAATGAATAAAAGTTTCAGTCACAGCAAAGTTGCCCCTGTGGAAATAGATAATCTTAGCATAGGCTGGAAACAGTTTTGTTCATCCAACTGTGGAGTGCACAAAATTGCCATAATGCTTCAACGTTCCAATTATTTGACTCAAACTATTACCAATCACACCAAATGTGATGCACCTAAGTTCAAACAAAGTTATCACATTAACCATGTAAAGTAGTTTGAATGCATTGTTTCAGGTGAACCAGTTAAAATGTACCTTTTGTATCATGTTCAGCCATTTTAGACAATATATAACTTACACACTGTCAGGGTAAGTAATAACAACAGTTCAGAAATCACAGTTCTAAACCAGTTTAACACAATCAAACACCCTCCCTTTTCTGCCTATTGAGAGGTCAATTTGTCATTTGGCAGCACCAGATAACGTAAAGCTCAAAATATGAGGTGCTGCTCCTCATATTCCACCTTGGGAGCCTACAACCCAATGCTCTCAATGTGGACTTGACCAGTTTCAAAATCTCTCCAACCCCAGCCTCATCCCATGACCAACCCTCCCTCTCATCTCCACCTCCTTGACCTGACACAACCTGACCATCTTCTCAAATAAAAACCAAAAGAACTGCAGATGCTGTAAATCAGGAACAAAAACATAGTTGCTGGAAAAGCTCAGCAGGTCTGGCAGCATCTGTGAAGGAGAAAACAGAGTTAACGTTTCGGGTCCGGTGACCCTTCCTCAGAACTGTCCATCTTCTCTCCCACCTACCCACTCCTCCCACCTCAATGACCAATCCCCCCCCCCT